CATTGTGAGATACGCGGCAGCTTTTGGGATGAAATTTAGCGCGAGAGGCGTCGATGTGGCTTTTGAGGTCGGTGAATGGAGGCAGCTAAACTTGTTTGTGCTCATACGGTCTTTGTTAGCTACATGCGAGATACCTTGCAATAGAGAATGCTGTATAGTACCGATAACGCGTTTCAGCCGGGTGAAATATTCTGTTTGGTCCGTTACACACTCAAGGCCTGGGAGTTCGAGTTATCATACGCCGTCATCTAAGAATTCAAATATGAGATACGCGGTACCTTTTGAGATGAAATTTAGCGCGAGAGGCGTTGATGTGACTTTGGCCTCGGTCAATTGAGGCAGCCAAACTTGTTTGTGCTCATACGATTTTTGTTGGCTACATGCGAGATACCTTGCAATAGAGAATGCTGTATAGTACCTATAACGAGTTTCAGGCGGGCGAGATATTATGTTTGGTCCGTTACACACACACACACACACACACACACACACACACACACACACACGGACATGGGCAATCCTACAGGTCGGGGCCCCCCTGGGCGCTTCGCGCTGGGGCCCCGCCCAAAAAATATTGCCGGCAAGCTTATTACGAAATGCGCCGATAGTTCATTACCGCATGCTTTTGGGGTCGACAACGTCCGCTCCGTGATAATTTTTACATTGCTTCATCCTTTGCTTGCAGATGAAGGCTCGCATTGTGCCGGCACCTTGGCGCTCCGTTGAGATGCGCAAACAACGGAAGTTCCATGGCGGCCACCTATGGATCCGGTGTCCAAAAGCTAAATCGGGCATTGGGCCATTACACACAGGCCTTTGGGGGCTGTGCCTGCGGTATTTGCCTAACTAAGCGGTCAATCCTGCCCCCCCCTCCCCCGCCCCCTCCCCCTCCCCCTCCGACGAGTTTCCTGCGCTGCATGCCGCACGGGGATAACTCCACGTACCCCTCTCTGCCCCCTCACTGCCTCTCCACACCACACCACATCATCATACCACCACCAAGACGTCCTCCACGTATGCTGCCGCCCTCGGGCCTCGCTCACTCACCCAACCGCTCCTCTCACCAACAGCCCTTCGTCATGATCACCGTCATCACTAACCCCTTCCACAATCCCATTCCCTCAGAGCCGCATTACCTACCTCTCCCCTTAAGCCGCACCTAGGCTCTCATATCCGCCCTCACAACGCCCTGAGCTCCTCTGCTTCGTCTCTCCAATTCATGACCCCAAACCACCACACGTAGAGTCTACCAAGCTACCAAGGCATCATTCCTGCGCATGCTAGAAGCATTTACAAATCAAGCCGGACGAAATGAAGTACCACCAGTCGATTAACGCATGCTAGAGCACAATTCCAGAGCCCGCGTACGTGTTCCCTTGAAAAAACGCTAGGCCTTTAGTACATGCACATGTATACATACATATGTACAGACAGACAGACAGGCAGGCACGACTCGGGTATGCCCCGGGGCTCTCAGGGAATGTGCCTTAGCCAGTCCGCCAAACACCAGTTCACTTCAATTAGTCCGCATGTATGATGTGTGAAACAGGGGGGTGTATCTTCGCCCCATGTGGCAGCTACCCTGCGAAACCCTGCCTTCCCCGGTATTTCGGGGCACCCTCATCCAGTCACCCTAGTCAACTTCTCAGTGGATCGCTCAGGTTCCGCACCCACCACCAGCATCCAACGGAATCTGCCGGGTCGACAGCGGCCCAACTCCATTCCTGGTCGGCTCGCAGGTTAACTTTATCCCAGGTCACCACCGTCCATCAACTAGGGGCGCAATGCCTTCCACCATCGGAAGGGCTTTTGACCCTAACGGATATCGATCCCGGGATTTCCCGGGGCCAATGGTCGCGCGTTACCAGTAGTGCCAAACCCTTGTATGTCTGTCCGTCAGTCGTCGGAGTGCTGACGGCATCTGCCTGGCCCGAAATGCGCCCCGGGTTTGGTACGGAGCCATGTACGGCACAGGTAGCAGAAGTGGCTGTTACAGGACCAGCAGCGGATGTCGTTGTTGCCGCCCTCCTTGACGTTGCGCTGTCCACACACCACACAATGACACAGCCGTACCTGGGCGGCCATTGCGGCGGGGCGGGGTGGAGTGGAGGGAAGGGAGGGAGTGGAGGGAAGGGAGGGAGTGGAGGGAAGGGAGGGAGTGGAGGGAAGGGAGAAGCAGCAGGTGGAGATGGGGAAGGGTACAGTACAGAGAAAAAGGGAAGGCAACTGCGGTGCAGGTGCGGGGGGGAAGGGGGAGAGAGGGTACCACCCTTTTCTGGTGCAGCTGCTCTGTCCCGAATAGAGGGGGAGTTGGGGGCCCCCGCTTCCCAACACACACTTGCAACTGCTACCTGTCCGACGTTCTGTTGCAGCCACCCGACCATCGCGCCACGTTGCTCGACCTGAGCGACTCGGGGGCCTGCCGCGGGAGGTGGAGGTGGAGGTGGGGGGGAGGGGTTCAGGAGAGGAGATGGAAATGGAGAAGGAGGATTCGCTGCACAATACTGCACAACAGGACCTTTTTCTGCAGCTGCTCCCGATAACAACAGGATGCGCTGCGTCACGTCACCGTCGCACACACAGAGCACAGCACACAGAGCACAGCACGCATGCAAGTCCACCCACTACCGCCCACTACCACCACCCACCCACAATAACGACGCTCGTCCTTAAGCTGGACAGCTTTCCCACCACCCCTTCCCCTCTCCATAAAGCCATGAGTCCGCAGCAGCTCAATGACACGCAGCCATCGCCACTAACCACCACCACCACCGCAAAACCCAACGCCCGTGGCGGCGCCGCCAGCGCTGCCACGGCCAACGGTCGTCTCACCAGCTCCCCATCTCGCATTCCACCGGTCAATCTCTTGCTGCTCGAACAGCACACAGGCCCCCTCGCCGCCGTCCAGCGGCTGCTGGAAGTGGTCGTAGCCGCGAATGATCTGCATGACGAGTGCATCGCGGCGGGGGGAGGGGGGAGGGGGGAGCGCACCGCAGCGCGCAGTACCGGGGGGCAACTCCGAGTAAGCTAAACACAATCAATAACCGACGCAAACAGTTCGTCACATCACGCGCTTCACATATACAATTATGCGGACGGCGGCGCATGCACGTTCGTGTATGAGACGCATTTCTTATACGCTTTACAGATGGCATAACCTCTTATGTACCCCCCCCCCACACACACACATACATACAGGCCCTACGCCCCCTCCACCCCCCCCCTCCACACTCCCCAAGGAGGCGGAGAGGTGAGGGAGCCTGGCCGGCTCCTCTTCCCTCGGGGTAACCCTCCCCTCCCCTTCCCCACTCCCCCCTCCGTCCGAGGAGAGTCCGGAGGAGAGTCGAGCTATGTCGGTACATCGCGTTGCGGAGGTCGGCTGTAGCCGGACAAGGATAGTTGGGTCGGTCGGGTCGGTTGCGCGTGTTGGGGGGTTGGGAGGAGCACTTGCTTGTCACCAGCAGCTTATTACTATTTTACGGCTTGGATCTACTGCTCTTCTTCCGCTCTTATCTTAGTCTTTGCGGCTAGGTAGATAGTTTTCCGCTGTCGCCATGATTACTAAAATCGTCGAGAGGACTGCTGCTTCACACCCGCCGACTGGTCAGTTTCTTTGCTTCCTGCACATCTGCCGCAGCAGTCTAGCTAGGCTCTAACCAATACCGCACCCCTGGTCTAGGGTTTCCTGTCGTCATTTACCCGTTCCTACACTTCCCTTTACCCCCCCTCCCTGGTCAGTTTCTTTGCTCTCTGCACATCGGCCGCACTGCAGCACTCTTTCCTTGGCAGCAGCTTCACTCGCTCGTGGTTCGCCTTTTCCCCCCCTCCCCCTCCCCCTCCCCCCTCTCCACCTGATTGCAGCGCCTGCAGAAGTACGCTCCGCAGTAGCTGCAAGTCATCTTGTTGCAACCCTCGCTCTTCTCCACACCCATGGAGCAACTGGGGCACTGCTTGGTGGTGCTCTGTCGTACATACACACACGGGGGTTGGAGTGGGGACGGCGGGGAGAGGAGGAGACGACTCAAACTTTGGTGGAGGTGAAGGGGCTGGTGCGGGATGGCGAAAACACCACTGGGGTGCACATGCACATATTCCCCAACACTCCTCCAAGACTCGATCCCCTCCCCCCTTTTCCCCCTACTTCCCCCTTCCCCCCTCCCCCTCTCCCCTCCTACCCACCGCACCCGCCAACCATCCCACCCTCCCCTCCGCTCCCGACCTTCCCCCTCCAACACACATACACAACAACCCAGCAAACCCAAGGCCCCCACCCCTCACCGCCAGCACCGCCAGGCTCTTCAGTTCATTACGGCGGTTCATCTCCCTCCTCGCTCGCTCCATGGCGCTGATCCCCCCTCCCCCACCCCCGGCGCCCCCCCCGGCCGCCCTGCGCTCCTCCAGAAGGGCCAACCGGGCCTCCGCATCCAGACAGGCGCTGAAAGGGGGGAGGAGAAGGGGGGTGGATGGGGGAAGGAGGACGGGGAGGGAAAAAGGAGAAATAAGTGATATTCATTAAAACAGACAGACATTTTTTCCCCGCGATATGGTTCCACACACATACATACATACACATCTCCCCCTTCCCAAATCCCTTCGAAATATTCCAAACACACAGACGCACACACGACCATACAGACACACACACACACACCTTCCCGGGTGCCAGGGCTCTTCACACAGAGCACAGAAGGAGAAGAAGCATCCAGGACACAGCGTGCAGTGGTCCTTGTCCTCCAGGCAGGGCTCTCTGACGGGGGTGGGCGGGGGAGGGGTGGGCGGGGAGGGCGGGGGCGGGGGGGTGATTGAGGGGTGGGGGAGGGGGAAAGACGAAGAACGATTGAAGCTGCTGCCAGGGGGAGGGGGGGAGGGGGAGGGGGGAGATAGCCCGCGGTAGCAGGACAGCCCTAGGAATCCATGCCAATGGAGCCCCCGATGATATACTCCCCCGTATTGCACGAAATAGCCCGCTCAGCCCTC